AGATTAAAAGGAGCTGCTGTCTCCAAAGGTCAAGTGATCACCTTCTTAGAGGCTCATCTTGAGTGTACATTGGGATGCTGGAGACTCCCTTAGCCAGCATCAAACAGGACAGTGGTATATCCTCTCATTAATGTGATCAGCGATGATACTTTTGAGTATATGGCAGGCTCTGATGGGATGTTTGGTGGATTCAACTGGAAACTCAATTTTCACTGGTATCCTGTTCCCCAAAGAGAAATGGACAGAAGGAAAGGTGATCAAACTCTTCCTGTCAGAACACCTACAATGGCAGGAGGCCTTTTTTTTTCAATAGACAGAGATTACTTTCAGGAAATTGGAACATATGATGCTGGAATGGATATTTGGGGGGAGAAAATCTAGAAATTTCCTTTAGGATCTGCCAGTGTGGAGGAATTTTGGGAATTGTTACATACTCACACATTGGACATGTGTTTTGGAAAGCAACACCTTACATATTTCCAGGAGGCATGGGGCAGATCATCAACAAAAATAACAGATGACTTGCAGAAGTGTGGATGGATGAATTCAAGAATTTCTTCTATATAATTTCACCTGGTTACAAAGGTAGATTACGAAGATGTATCATCAAAACTTGGTCTGAGACACAAACTACAATGCAAATCTTTCTCTTGACACCTAGAGAATATCTACCCTGATTCTCAAATTCCACATCATTATTTCTCATTGAGAGAGATACGAAATGTGGAAACAAATCAGTGTCTGGACAACATGGCTAGAGAAGAGAATGAAAAAGTTGGAATTTTTAATTGTCATGGTTTGGGAGATAATCAGGTTTTCTCTTATACTGCCAACAAAAGAATTAGAACAGATGGCCTTTGCTTGGATGTTTCCCAACTTAATGGCCCTGTTACCATGCTCCAATGCCACTGTCTAAAAGGCAACCAACTCTGGGAGTATGACCCAGTGAAATTAATCCTGCAACACGTGACCAGTAATCAGTGCCTGGATGCCTGGATAAAGCCACAGAGGAGGACAGCCAGGTGCCCAGCATTAGAGACTGCAATGGAAGCCAGTCCCAGCAGTAGCTTCTTCAAAACATCACCCTTCCAGAAATATTCTGAGACCAAATTTACAAAAATAGAAATGACTGGGCTACCTCAGCATACATTTCTGCCACATTCTTAAGTAGCAAAAAAGGAAAAGTGCTTTCCTCCTCTGCAGGATATAAGGTTTATCGGCCATGAAAACTCAGGCTCCTCTAGTTTTTCACTAGAGGTGAAGCAGCCTTCCCGTCCAAGGATGTGAAACTGCATAGTAGTGAGACTATGCACACTGATGTTTACAAAATGGTGTCTTTCATCAAGAGTCATGGGAAAGAATATTCAGACAACAAAACTTAATCAGCAAAGTGTGCTTTTTGAAGAACTGTACCTTTTATGGTTCGCTTGCACATCAGTAATTCTGAATGTGCTGTCCTAATGAAGATGTTTCTAAGATTTCTTTCCTGATTAGACCTGGTAGCCAGTGTATTAACTACTGATATACAAATAGATGAAAAAGAACTGGAACCAGATTCACAATCTGGAAAACAACATTTTACAGCAATTTTTAAAAATTAACAGGGTTTTTTAAAAATTGCAATAGGACTATGAGAAGTACAATTTGTTATATATTGTATCAAATTTCTATATAGATTTTATGCCTGAGTGGGGAAAAATAACTGATTCCAATGACATTCATTTTGTGTTCATCTGTGACAGTCATGGATGCTTTTATTTTTCTTGGGGTGCTGAAAATGAGCTAGGGAAAAGGCTCTTTGAACATAGTTTTAATTGCTACAACATTTTTTATTTGGTTTGTGGGCTATTGGAAGTGCAATTTTTAATTGCCTTCTAAAAATGAAAAACTAACACGATGGTGTCTGGTCTCAACTGAACAAGTTAAATATTTCAGTTGCTCTTGGGTCAACTGGCTCATAGTCTGTTTCTCCCTTTGACTCACACATGCACACACACACACACACACACACACACACACAAAACACGCCTTACTTGCCACATCAACTTCTTAACTTGATTCAACAGATTATGCTTAATACCCAAGATTCATACTACTGTATTTCAGACTTGTTTTCCTAGCAATAAATTTTCAGTTCTTCATGATTCCACTTTAAAAAAATCATCATCATCATCATCATCATCTTCAGAGCCCAGGATAATGGGAAGCAAGAGGAAAAGCAGTGGTGATGCTGAAGGAACTGCTAGGAAGCAGCAATGTCAATATCCAAAATTTGGCAATATTTTTGTCAAAGGTGTAGAAGACTCACTTTGTCATACTTATGAATGAATCTGACTTACATATGTTCTCCTGGATTTGAGCTCGTTCATAAGTCGGGACTTATTCTACTCCTTTTGTTTAGTAGTGAGAATTGAACCCAGGGCCCTGTGCATGCTAGGAAAATGCTGTATCACTGAGATACATCCTAGCCCTTTAAAAATTTGACTCTGGCAGGGCCTCACTAACTTTTCCAGGCTATCCTCAAATTTGCCATTCTTCTACCTCAGCCTCATAACTAGCTGGGATTACAGGAGTTAGACACTGTGCCTACTTCTATAGTCTTCTCCTAAAAACTGTCAATGCCAAGAAAGACAGACTGGGAATCTGTTCTAGCTTCAAGAGACAGGGCAACTAAATAAAAAAGCATTATCTTTGGTTAATCCTGGATGAGAAAAAAAAATCAGTGTACATGACAGTATCAAGACAATAAAAGTTATATACAGATCATATGTTATTTAATCATATGATTCATATCATACCAATGTTAAATTTCCAGAATGTGATAATTTATGATGATTATTATAAAACAATGTCCTTGTTCTTAAAAATGTTCACTCACATATTTAGGTTAAAGGATGATGTAGTTAACCAAATTCTAAAATGTTTCAGTACAAGAAGAATTGTATAGGAGTCAAGTACAGTGGTGCGCAACTGTAATTCCAGCACCTTGGGAAGCCAAGGCAGGAGGATTCCAAGTTCAAGCCTAGCCTGGGCAATTTAGAAAACTCCTGTCTCACAGTAAAAAAGGCCCAGGGATGTAGCCCATGTGAAGGCCCTGGGTTCAATCCCCCATACTGAAAAAAATCACACTTCTATAGGGAGAGCACAGGACTTCTGAGGGTTACCATAGTATTCCTGCAACTATTTTTGAGAATTGGTTTTTTTTCTACAACTAACAAACACATATACAGTTAAACACAATATGTGACTGGAGCTCAGTCCAGAAAGTACATTAGTCAGATAATTGGCAAAATTTGCAGATTAGCTCATAGAATTATACAACCATTAAATTTTTTATCTTAATAATTTTAGTATAGTTATATCACATGTCAATATTTGGGAAAGTTAGGTGAAGGACATATAGGAATTCTTTATACTTTCAGCGTCTGATGACATATACTATTGAAAAGTGAAAAATAAATGTTCAGTAGGACTTCTAGATATCTTTCTCCAGACTAGGGGTTGAAAATCAGAGTGACAAGCCAGAGTCCTAACACTGAGTCCAGTACTTTCCACTCTAACCCATCATCACAGACACTGTTTTAGTATGAGAGCTTCTCAGGAAATGGTTCTGAAATAGAAGCTGAAATGTTTCCTCTTTGTTACACAAACACTGGTTGTGAATGTGTGCACATTCATGCACATGTGTGTAGCTGTAACTCCTCTCAAGTGACATCAAAGGGCTATAGAATCTTCCTGTGCTTCCCTACTGTTGAACAGTGATGGGCTTTTCCACACAGCCTTTCCCAGACCTGCCTCCCCCTGGAGTCGCCTACAGATCTGTTAGCAACTTCCAGGCCCAGGCCACATCTCAGAAGAATTCACTCACAGGCTCCGGACATGGAACCCGGTTATCAATGTTCTTTGACCCCTGGGTCACTCCAATCTCCAGACAGTCTGGAGACTCCGCTTCCACACACGCTGGAGACTAGATACTGGAGACTGAGGCCGGGCTCCATACTGTGCGACAGGAACCCTGGAGGAAGGGATCTGTCTTTGGCAGTGACCTCTAAGGGTCTTGGGCTCAGTGACTACAGTGTGAGCGGTTTACAAACAATACATGCTTCTAGCACTGTTAAATTGGTCTTTTTCCCAGAAAGTCACAAATGTTAGACATTTTGCTGGTTTTCCACTTAATATAATTGAAAATAAATCCATACAAATGATGACTAGGATGATTTCTAACAGCGAAATGGAAGTGTTTTTTTTTTTTTACAGAAAATGTTACACTCTATTTGTTTTCATGCTTATTTTCCTCTCCAACTTTTGATCATCCTGCCTCAGCCTTCAGAGTGCTGTGACTATAGGAGTTCACCACCATACCTGTTTAAGTCTCTGTGATTCTGTGTCACGTTAAAACCCAATTTTCATTTGCAGTTTAAAAAATGATCCAAATATATAAATAATGCAGGAAGAGTACAATCTGATCTCCAGGCTAGAATTTTTTCTTTTATTGATGGAGCATTAAACCCACAGGCTTTGTCGTGAACTACATCCCCAAACTACATTCTCAAATAATTTCTATTTTGAGAAAGGTCTTCACTGAGTCATCGATTGGCCTACATTGCCCTGAAACTTGCAATCCTCTTGCCTCTGCTTTCCAGAGTGCTGGGGTTATAGGTGTGTGTAGTAACCTGCCCAGCTCAGCATAGAATTTTTTCCAAATTTTAAAATGAACAGGTCATTCTCAGCTGCGTGTTATAAAAGAACATATTTTTGTTGCGACATTAAAATTGAAAATTTTCAAAATTTCTCCTAAAATAAGTAACAGCAAATAAAAGTTCATTCAAATACCAATTTTAAAATAGGATGTGCAAACTGTCCTTATTTTAAATGCTTTTAAAAACATAATAAATTTCACACTACTTTCTTTCAATAAAGGGAAAAGCAATAAACTAGGTTTGGTGGCACACGCCTCTAATCCCAGCCCTTGGGTGGATGAGGCAGAAGAAATGCTGTGAGTTTGAGGCCAGCCTGCACTACATTGTGAGCTCAAGGTCAGCCTGGACTACATAAGGGGACCATGTTTCCCACTCCAACCGGAATGGGGGGTACTGAGCCTGGGTGCGGGATGGGGGCTGACGGCCTGCGGCAGAAGCATGGGCAGAGGGGGAGGCTGTGAGCTTCTGGGGGCGGTGAGTGGGCTCTGGGCTGGCAGGCCAGAGTTCCGGTCCGGCCCGGGTCTGTCCCGTGCTGCCTCCCCTTCCCCAACTCACAGCACAGCTGTCTGTCCTGGATGGGAGGCCTCAGCAGGCTCCAGGGTCGGGCAAGGTGTGCATTCAGCGCCATCACAGCAGTGGCACATGCTGCCAGTTCCTGAACAAGTTCCCAGCAGAGCTGGAGAACCAGATTGATAGGCAGCAGTTTGACGAAACTGCAAACTCTAAATAACCTTTATGCAGAAGTAGAGAAGCTCAGGGGCCAATCCTCTCTAGGAGGCTGTTTGGCTTGTTTAATAGCGCACGCCATCTTCTTATGCAATTATGAAGAAGCTTCTGAAGTCTCCGAATATATCCAAGAACAGAAGGAGAAGGCCTCCTCCTCATTGCGTGACCTTGAATGTTGGGAGGATGTGGTCTGTGTTGCTTGTCCATCACTCAAATAAGGAAGCACGATACAGTGCATGCTAAACCCAAACACATAAATGTCTTTGCTGTGTCCCTGAGTGTGAAATAAGTAAGGGCAATACATATTGTAACTATACTTTTGTTATAAGTTAGGAGGGAAAATTGTGACAGGAATAATATTGTATATTGCCAATTTTTAACCTGCTGGCAAACGTGATTCATAGATTCTTCACACACAGTATTCAGGGCACTGAGATCTTGGGTGGGTTAAAGTTAAGAGGGGCACTAAGGCTCTGATACCCTTCTCTGTGAAAGCATCCTGAAACAAAAAAATTTCTTTTCCTTATGAATCTTCTAGCAACTGATAGTGGCCATGCTAGGGGTAAAGATCAGATTGAAAGGGTAGCCATCCTATCCAATAGTCAGAAAGTAGATCCCATTCTTCAAAATACAAGTATGTAAAAAGAGCATGGAGATTGGCAAGTAAATCACGACATTTTTTTCTTGAAAACTGTGTCTTTGACTGTGGTTGCTCATGGAAACAACTGAAGAAAAAGCCCAGGAACTTATTTCTTAGGGAACTATTTTGCAAAAAGAAAAACCCAAAACGACAACAACAAATAACCTAAATCTAGCATGCAAAAAGCCTATAGCTTTTAACTACCTATAATAATTCTCAAGCCCCCAGGCTACAATAACGCAGTGAATTGCTTGGACAGGACTGCTTCTATTCTGGGAAGATCCACAGACAAGCAAAATGGTCTACAGCGCAAAGCCATAGACCCCTGAGATCATGAGATAAAGGAGTTATTCAGAAAGGTGAATCAGAGGTTGTCTGACGGGCAATCCAAGGAATATATTCACACACTACAGTAGACAGTCTTTGCTATTTTTGCCAAGAAGTACCTTTTAATTGCTATGGATCTGCCACTACTATGCTTATGATTCCTCCCTTTTCAAAATGGTCAATATTTTGCAGTTTTTCTGCACATATAATATACATTATGCAAGTGGCACTTTTGGGAAAGAAACCATGCCTTTTAGTTTGTAGGCAACCAGAATACAAGGTGCTATACCCTAACCTGACAGAGGTGATGATACCTAGATATCATGGTCTTGGAGTTAATATGCAAGAATAGATTGGGTTTCTGTAGTTTGGCAGGGGGAGTGGGAGGAGTGGGCATTTTCTCTCTCAGAACAGGAATGCACTCAGAGATTTAGGCAGCCACCAAAGCTGTTTTTATCTCAAACTAAAAGATGTTAACCAAACATTCCCCTTTTTCCTCTTCCTTTGTAAAAGAACCTTGACCTCATGGATTTTTCAGGCTGTTTTTGCACAGCTTCCTGCAGTCTGCTGGCTGATGCCAACTTGCTAAAGTTCTCCTTGTTTTCAAGTTCTCCTTGTATGTGCCACTGAGAGAGTGAAAAAACTGGAAAATATCAAGTGCTGAGACTTGCAGAATAGTAAGATAGAAATTAGATGCCCCCCTAGTTCTAGATTTTTTTTGTGGAACAGTGGAAAACTCCTGGTTTGTTTAAACCACTGTGATCCTTGCTTTTCTGTCAGGTATCTATACAAAGAAAATATGAATGAAAAATGGCCTGTGGTAGGGCAAAAGCTATTCAGTTGAAGAATTTCTAGAGCAGTGGTGGTGACCCTATGGCACATGTATTATTTGTTTTTCTTTTAAGACAAAAGATGTTAATGTATGAGTTTTTTTTTCCAAACTAAAACCTCAGTTTTCAGGTTTAGTTGCAGTGTCGGCACTTGGCGATAAGTAAGTGGGGTTGGGGTTGCAGATTGGGCACTCATCTTTAAAAGGTTCTCCATCACTGTTGTAGATGATACAGTGACTAAAACCAGCTAAAATTTGGCAGAAAATCTTGAGGGATACAAGAGGCTTTTCATAATAACTGTTAATATCAAAAAACATTTATTCAAAGGGGATGATGTAGACCCATAAAAGAATACATATTTTGGGCCGGGGATTTAGCTCAGTGGTTCCAGCTCCTACCTTGCAAGTGCAAGGACCCGAGTTCGATCCCCGGTACCAAAAAAACATATTTATGAGTACGCGGGAGCAATGATGTATTGTAAAAGCCATAGGCAGAGCTTTCTCTCTTTGTTGATAGATTCCTTCAGTTAAAGCATAAACCACTCACATCACTGACGGAGAAAAGAGAATAAAGAGGGGAGGTGTGAACGGGACTTTGTTTTCTTCCTGGTTCTGCTCCATTTCAATCCATTTCAATTTCTTTGCATACAGATTCGAGTTTTGGGAAATGTACAAATGTCTCACACACTCCAAAAGAGGGAAGGAGAGAGAAAGAAACAAAGAAAGAAAACATTAGCCAAATCCCAAAACGTGAGTGCAAAAAGAGGGGCAAACCAATATTTCCTTCCAAAATTAACAAGATAAAGCAGTGAGTGGAAAAGAGGAGAAAAAAACTCAGAAATCTTTGATCACAGTATTTGAACTCTTAATGTCGTTGGGTTAAAACCAAAAACCAAAATCTAAAGAAATATTGAACTCTCAAACATTGCAGAGATTGGATCAGCAATCTTGAAACTCTGTATATTCTAGGAATTGAAGAAATAAGTGAAACATTTTTGTGTTCCTACCACATGGGAGTTCTATTTCACATGAATTACAGACGAGCCTAAGACACAGGCTATGCTGAAATCGGAGGTGTTGGGTTGAATTTGGAGATATCAATGTTGATTTCAAGGGGAGGACACAAAAAGGACAAAGTGAGCTTTGAATATTTTTTTAGCAAAAATAAGGAGGTACTTAAAGAATGATAGGAATGTTCAAAAGGACATAAAAGCGAGTTTGAAAAAACTCTCACTATCCAAATCGGTGACAATTTGAGTAAGGAAATAAATAATGATAGTAAAGATTAAAACTTATAAATAAAACCAGCAGCCATGAGTTTGCAGTCGTGTACACAGAGTGGTTAGTGGAGAGGGATAGCTTTTTGCTCTAGTAGAAATCCAATTTATGAATGTAGTAGGTATAACGACAAGAGAAAATCACTTGCTGCCCACTACACTAACAGGCAATTCTGATTCTGCAGCTAGTAGATAGATACTGAGACATTTGTAGAGCCTCAAAGGAAAGCCCCACGAGACAGTTCTGTTTTGGCAAGAGTTTTTTGGTGGAAATGTAAATCAGTTCAGTTCTTTTCAAAAGTACATCAACAACCTGGCTACTGTGAGTAGACCTGGCCTGGTGTTGTGTTTCAGCACCCAGGGGGCAGGCAGACCAAGGAGGAGAGGCACTCAGAGAACTCACAGGAAAGGCAGGTTTATTTGCTAGCCTGCCTGGAGTAGCCTGGTCATTTAGCTTCTTCTTTTCTTTTCTTTTTTTGGTATCGGGGATCAAACTCAGGTCCTTCTGCTTGTGAGGCAGGTGGCGGAACCACTGAGCTAAATCCCCGGCCCCTCATTTAGCTGCTTGATAACTAAGGAAATGAGCTCAGGCATTTGCCTTTCAGCAGCACAGCACTTTATACGATAACCAACTGTGTACAAGTGAGTGCAAACAAAATTTTCAAAGAACAATTCAGGGGTACCATCCAAAATTCCTTAAAGAGAGAACACTGATTTCTTCCTACAGACAAAATGCAAACGATTGCCCTTAAAATTAGATTTTTAATTATCTAGAATAGTTTGGTATGTTTTGAAGGTTGCTGATATATTTTTGAAAAGAACTGAACCACCAGCATATCCTTTGCAGAAGAGAACAAATGGTAAATTCAGAGGGGAAGAATTTAGAGTCAAGTTGACTTTGGCTGGCAGTGAACTCGGCTGAGCTTGCTACTTTACAGACTAAGACTTAAGTCTCTAGCAGCCATTAGCAAAGGGAACAAAATAATCCCATAGTGAATGTTTGCTGTTCTGTTCATGTGGCTGCAAAAAAAAAAAAAAAAAATCTACTTGATGTGTCACATGCAGATCCTCTTTGTCCTTAACCACCTGATAGACTGAGGGCCTGGCCTGCCAGGAAGGCTGGGATGAAGGATTCCAGCTGCTATGCAGACAGGGACTCACTTAGGCTCACAGGAATTCCACATAAGGGCCAGTGAGGGGTACATAGGTGATGCAACAGGAAGAGGACACATGAGTAAGCTTCCCTGATCACTGCCAAGGCGCTGAAATCAATAAATGGACTCAGCTTCCAGACCTTCTCTTGGGAAGCCAAATGTGACAGAGAGGGTCCCATTGGCTGGGGCTGCTGGTCCCATTTTGTTGCCACCCTGGGGCCGGGGGTGCACTGGGAACACCCTGACTTGTCCAGTAGACAGGGTCTAATGTGCTAGGACACTTGCCAATTCCACAGGATGAGTCACAGAGTGAACTTCGCCTCTGGCTCCTCTTGCAACTCTGACTCATTTTTCCCAAACGGTGGCTGAGTGTATGGTCGGGGGAAGGACATGGCTTTGGTTTCTATAAAACAAGGTACTGGATAGTTGAGCATGTTTTGGATGGGTGAAGCCCCCAGAGAGAAGAGGCCCATGGGCTTGACTGAGCCTAGACTCTCCTCACTCAGAATTCTGCCTCCCACATTGTCAATAAAGCCTGCCCCTTCACAGCCTCAACTCTGGGCTGTTCTTCCTGGGGAGGCCTTGAGCGTGTTGGTGGAAAGGGAAGGCAGAGGCTAGCAGCTGTCATTCCGTGTTCAAGACATGCCGTGGCCCTAGCAGGGAGGTGAAGAAAGGCATGTCTTCCCCCACTGAAGGGGACTTTGCCCCTCAGACCCAGCCTGTTGCCTGATCATCTCTGCTCTGGGCATCCACAAGGCTCAGCAACCTGGGCCCTGCCTCCCTCCCAGGGCCTCGCTGGAAGGCTGAGGTACCCGGGGAGAGAGGGGCGGGATATCATAGACCTTAGGGTCAAGAGTGGAAGGCGAGCTCTCCGGCCACCTGCCTGGGTTCCAATCCCACCTCTAGCTGTATGCCTTGGTCAAACACCCTCTCTGTGTCAGCTGCCTCATCATGCTAATGGTGCCCGCCTCAGAGAATAGGGGTGGGAGTGAGAAGCACATGTGAAACGCTGCAGTGCCTGGTCTAGAAGTGCTGCGTACAAACGAGCCATGGCGACTGCTGAGGACTCGGCCACACGGGGAGCAAAATGACCAAGCAAACATTAGGAGAGAAAGTGCTTTCGTCTACTAGGTTCCCCTCACCCATGCTTTTCTCTGCCTGCTCTAACTTTCCACACTGTGTCCCTCCCGGCTCAGTCCAGGATCACAGGGGCTGTGGCAGTGCCTGTTACCTGGGTCCTTGTCTCCACCTGGCCCCCTACGGCCCATCTGCCGTGCAGCCAGCACAGCGGTCTTACAAGGGCTGTGAGCCTTTCCTCCCGTGTGCACCCTTCAGGAGTCCCCATCACCTTCTGAGTTCAAGGCAGACTTCTCAGGCAGCCACCTCAGGCCCTCACTGCCTTCCTACCCTGGAACTCCCATTCTCTTGCCAGCACCGTGTGCACCCACCACCTACTTCCTGACTGCCTTCCTCATTGGAGCGTGATACTGAGCCTCCTGCCTTGGAGACTTTGCTTGTGTCACTCCTTTCCCTGGACAGTCCAGGCCTCGTATCTGTTGAAATCTATAGAAGTCTAGGCTAATTCATGCCTCCTGGAAGCCCTCCCTGATATCTCTGGGGAGAGATGGTCCCTTCCCTCCTCTGTGCTATTGGTGTTCTTTACCTGTGTTGAAGGCTCTGTCTTGCTGTCCTCAAGTTCACAGCTCCTGGAGGCTTCAAGACAGTGTCTGACCAAGCAGTGAACCTGCCACTGAGTAGGTGCAGAGCAAATGAGTGAGGGGAGGATGGCTGGATAGATGGATGGTGTTCAAGACCACAATGGCAGTGAAGCCTTCAGTGTGCTTTGGCCAATCAGTGAGTCTGCCTCAGGTGCTCCAGAGGCCAAGCTAAGGGGTCAGGAAGTTGCCGCTGCGGGTCTGAGCACTAAACTTTGCCTGCCTCTAGGGTCCAGCATTGATTCCCCTCCTTGTAAAGCTGACCCATTTCTGATGTGGAGGGAGAAGAGCTGAAAAGCCACTCAAAGTCTGGCCAGGGTTCTGGGGACCTGGCTGGTTGGACTAAGCTTGGCTTCCCCTAAAGGCACACAGAGGAGCCAGAGTTGCTAATGAGGGGCCATTCAGCATCAACATCTTTGGAGTCCCATCCAGAATAAGCTTCCTCCAAGTCCTAGGGATTTCTTTTCTGACCTGTGACAGGCTGAAGGCTGCAGAAGGCTGAAGGCTGCAGAACTAAGGGGTCAGAGCCACCTGCTGCCCTAAGTGAGAACTACATGATCTCAGAAAATCAAGGCTGCAGGACCTGAAATTTCTACTCACTCCACTTCCAGCCTTAAGGCTCAGCTCAGGAAGCAGCTGGAAAGTTCTGTGGTTGAAAGGCTGGAAGGACCACATCCTGCCTGTGCCCAAAGATCCAGAGAAAAAGTATAATTCAGGAAGCCCCAAGGCCGCCCAGAGGGACATCACTGGCTCTCTATGATCCAGGTCTGTGATGAGGCCTCCTTCTTCCCCGTTCTTTCTCACAAGGACCAGGGCCCTTGCCTTTCAGTGACTGGCATTTTGCAGTCTCAGGGGACACAGCTACCATTTCTCAGTCACTAACTCACACGGAATTCTGAGAAAGGTGCTGGGCCCGTCCCATGTCAGGAAGCCAGGCTATCTCTTTCCGTGGGGAAACTGCTAGTTTGGAATAATTAGCCCCCTTAGCCCTACTGAAAACCTGCATGGACCACATCCCTCTGGACTGGCATCTTCAGCCCCTCTCAGGCCCCTCACAGGCACCTCAGCCCTTTCTGCTGGCTCACCCAGATCTCCCTGCAGGTGGCATCCTTCCAGCCCTGCCCTTCTCTGAAGCTCCTCCCTGTTTCTTTTCCTGGGGACAATTTTCCTTGAGAGCTTACAGCCACAGCGGAGGAGGATCCTGGCCTCTCACAGCTGCCAGGCTGCCCAAGGCCTCTGAGGTTTTCCCGGGCCCAGGCATCAGACGTGCAGATGACTTTGGAAAGGAGATGGGAATTCCACACATCAAAGTCGTGCTGTCCCCAGACTGGGAAAGCCCTGAAAAAAACCACATAACCACTCCAAGTTGGGAGGGGCAGGGAAAGGAGGAACAGTGAGAATGAAGCCAGGCTGGGACCACAAGTGGGGTCGGCTGTATTATTTTACTGGAGTCGAGATTATCTGAGCCTCTCTGCCAGGCTGAGCCACCTGGGGCTCTCAGGATCCTCATGAGCAAGGAGGTGGGTGCTTGCTACGCCTCATTCTAATTCTGCTCATGGCAGGCCCAGCTCTGGAGGGTCCTGAAGGGCAGGCTCAGAGACCAGCCACCTGGCTTCCCACGCATGAACTCCCGCCTTTCCCTGACTGACCTCCATTTCTTCCAAGCCTTGATGTTAGTGAGTGGAACGCATGATAGAAAGTGCCCATCTGACTGCAGGATACATTATCTTCCCTGGGAGAAGCAGCAGGGTAGAGGTGGGCAGCACAGGTCAGCACCACCCAACAGCTACCCTCAGTTCACAGCTCTAGTTACCCCTCTTCCACTAGTGAGGCAGCTCTTCTTCAGGAAACCTCTTTCTTTGCAGCACAAGTATGTCCCAAAGTACTCCCCAGACCATCAACACCCCAGCTGAAGCAAAGCAGACTTTGCCTGTGCCTCTCTTTATTCTCTAGGTCATAGGAAATAATGCCAGGAGAAGACAAAGGGTAACTTCAGCTGAGAGAGAAGTAAACAGAACCAACGCTTTTATCAATGCCAGCTGTGCCCTCCTTTTCCCAGCCATCTTGGAAGGGGAATGAAAATCATTCCTAGGGGGCTGGAACACAGTCTGTGGTGGAGCAGGTAGTCTTGGTTCTTGGGAAAAGCCATGCAGTTGGATGCTCATGCTCTGAAGGGGTCCCCGCGGTGTGTCTGTGTGGGAGACAGCCACTGTCCGCCTGAAGGAAGCCGCAGAAGCACCACGGCCCTCGGTATGCACCACTGGCTCCCCTAGTTCCGTGTGGGTCCTGTGGGAAGCAGCTTTCACAAAGGGGTCAGAAGTGAAGAGGGCTCTTCCGGGCAATTCGGAGAAACATAAAGGGCTGGGGAGGGGACAGGATGGTGACCATGATGCAGGAGAACTGGGAAGGGACTGCAGCATTTATTGCCTTCACTGGGAAGCAACAGTGTACAGGTGAGCGGTGCCATCATCACCACCCCACAGCTTTCCCCAGTTCACAGCCCCAGTAAACTGTTTCCTACTAATCCAGACCCTCCTGTCAGCAAATGAGCTTATTTTCCTGCTAGCCAGACTGTGAACACTGAAGCAAAGCAGACTTTGTGTAGCTCTGTTTCATATTATTCTCAATTACATTTGAAGTAATACCGTTCTTACTAGGTAACGTGGAAGGTTAACATCAGGGTAACCCGGAGGGAAATAAACACAACTGAAACTTTCTTTGGTTCAATTTCAACTATGTCCTCTTTTTCCCACACATCTTGGAAGGGGAATGAAAATCATGGTGAAAAATCCCTCTTACAGGGAGCCTGGGTGAGGACCAGTTGGCCAACATTTCAGCCATGCCCGTCATGCTTGAGCCCATCTGTGTTGTCCCTGCATGGTCCCAGACAATGCCTTTTCCCTCTAGGAGCTCGTGTACAATGAGGTTCTTCTTCATCCTCCACCTGTTCCCCTCTCCCTTCACAAATGGCCTGCATTGTGGTCTGAGGCTTTCCCCTCCACCTCCCTCTCCCCTTTATTTTTCACTGAAATTACCCTCAAATACCAGGGATCGAACTCAGGATCTTGAGCTTGCCAGGCAGGCGCTGTGCTGCTGAGCTACATCCCCGGCCCTTGTTGTGAACTCCCGACTCCCCTTTGGAATCTGCTTCCCAGAAACTCAAAGGGACCCAAAAAGGGACTGAGCAGTGTACTGAGGGCCATGGCACTTGCGTGGCTTCCTCCAGGTGGACAGTGGCTTTTCTCTCATGGAGACACATAGCAGAGACCCCTCCAGAGAATGAGGATCCAGGTGATTTTCAACCATGACCCAACCATGGTGTTGGGGACTGTGGTTCCTTCTTGATGTGAGCAAGACGGAAGCCATCTTATGCTTTTGTCTGCTTTAAACTTACTTTCTGAGTCTAAACTAGCTTGTGATAACCATGCAACTGGTATGCCAAAAATCTTACCTTGTGAATCCTTTCAAGAATATATTTTTACCCTAAAAAAAAATTCTTTTCACCACCACAGGATTAGCACGTTTTATCTGTACACAAATAAGACCAGCACGTGTTGCTTGTTTCAAATTCTCCACCCCATGAAAGCCAAGCCACCAGCGGCTCTTCAGCTCAGTCTTCCGGGTCAGTGCTTCTGAACTCTGCCTGGATGTTGTTCTTCGCGGGGCTGCCACTCCACTCTGCAACTGTCTGTGACAGTCGTGCTGCCCGTGCAGAATGCCCCACTTGGTTCCCCAGCAGTACTGGCCTCCATATTGCTGTGAGTTCCAGCGCTGCCCTTTGGACCCCAGTATGCTCATAGCATGTTGGCTGGGTAGAAGAAAGATTCCGCATCACCAGTACTGCCTCCAGCTTTGAGCTGATGCCATGGGTGAGGTCCCTTCTGTCTTGCTATGAATGTGCCAAATGCTCAATAAACTGTTGCATTTGGACACTTCTCAATTCAGGATCTTTGCGTGACAGATACGCCGACTCCCTTTAGCTCCTCCAAGCCCCAAGTTGGCCTAACATATAGGGCCTTTTGGCCTTCAGGAGGGCCTTTTGGTGTTGAGAGTAGACTCCATGTCTACTCGAGAGACTTCTTCAATGCCGCTGTTCAATATTGACTTATATAGTCGGGCGTGGTGGCACACGCCTGTAATCCCAGCATTTGGGAGGCCGAGGCAGGAGGATCGTTGTGAGTTTGAGACCAGCCTGGGCTAGTAGCGAGTTCCAAGTCAGTCTCAACTACATGTGAGACCCTGCCTCAAAAAAACAAAAAACAAAAAAAAAATTGGTTTATATGACTACCACCTGCGCATGAGAACCAGAGAGAAGACAAGAATAAAACAAGAGTCACAAGTATCCCAAGAAATATGTGAAAACCACTCTGGATCTAGTTTTCTCACTGGCTTTACTCCAACCAGGAGAACAAGTTCCATGAATCATTTAACCAATGTGAAATGAGCACCATTTTTCTTCACTACCTCATTTCCTACTTTTCACTTACAATGGGAAGTTTTAGCTCTTGCACAAATTTCATCTTGCCAGGCCCATAAATAAAACAGAGGAGAACTGTATCATCTAGAACTATTTTAATCAATACATTCATCTGGTCTCTTGGTGCCCCGGCCAGCGGGGTTCGTTATTAGCAGGGCTCGAGGAGGGGAACACCCGGATCGGGAACGGGAAAGGCGCAGGAAGACAGGAACCAGACAGAGCTCTTTTAGTGGTCAAAATTTGACAATTTTTATTTCTCACACAGCAGCTTTTATGCAGGTAGGGATGAGCAGGGACTTTCCCGGTTGCTAGGTTATCTAACTTAGGCTGGTCTAGCTAGGTAAGGTAGGGCATGGCCAGAATGTTCCCGGTAGGGGTCAGAATGTCCCCGGGAGGGTGTAAAGTTCCTATCAGGGGCACACACACACAGGGTGGAGGGCACACACGGAGGGTGGAGACGCACAGGGGTCTTGGTCTCCAACATCTTGGGTCTCTAAAGCTGTTCTGGCTTGTGTTTAGAGGTTCCCCCAATGTGAATGAGGTGGGGCTACTTTAGAGGTGGCTGATTCTAGAGTGCCTGATTGATTCATGGTGGGGCTAGGCCTGGGGGTGCTAGGGTTAAGGGTGTGAGTGCTACCTGCCCTCCATAGTCAGAATAAGATAAAAGGGGCAGAGGGACTCTCTTAAGGTTCTCTTGTTGCTTTTTTGCTGCTTCTTCTGTCATGAACTGTTGCCCCTCTGCCACCCTGCCTTGGAGCCAGCCAATTATGAACTGAAACCTCTCTCAACTGTAAGCCAAACAAGCCTTTCCCCCTTTAATTTTGGATGTCGAGCATTTTGTCTTAGCAATGATAGAAATGTAGCTAACACAAAAGCTAATGCTTTGACACTTACTGTTTGGACCACAATCAAGGACTTAGTCTGGAAATGATGGGGGCGTGTTAGAAAGTCTTGGCCAAACTATGCAAGCTGCTGGTTGTCACGAGCCGCGACATCAGGATCCTGCCAGCAGATCCTAAACCTGAAAGGACGAGGACAGAGAGACGGGAGGCACTTTTCTTCTCATGTTCCTTGCTTTATTTATTACAGAACCTCATCCTTTTATACTCTCTCGCTGCAGGGGAGCGAGAGTACCGCCCACACATTCCAGAAGGAAACCGTTACAGTTGCTAGGCAACAGGTCAGACCACCAGCTGAACTAGCCCGTTGCTATGGGCGACGGAACGTCCACACCGCTCCGGTGAATCACAGGTTAACATGGTTGCGCTCTCCATAATTCCCCCATTTTTCTTATGTCAGTGAGTCCCCTGCAGAGGACGCCAGACATATGCCAAGGAGCTCCTGTCTTAGGTGGCAGGGATGTCCTTTCTCCTTACCCGTCATCAGCAAAGAGGGCTTATGTCCCTCTTGCCTGTCTTAGGTTGGTAGAAAGGATGCCCTGACCTTACCTGTCTCTGGATACTCCATGGAGAGGGAATTATGCATGACAGGCTTGCGCCAAATAAATGGCCACCCGGGATGCATCATTCTCTACTGAAGCTTGTACAGCCATAACAAGTTGTTCATGACGAAACACAAAAAATTGATACATTCTTGTCATCTTGCGATACATATAACAATTACAAATACAAAGAACCATCAAAACTACAATGATCACCAATGCAGGAGTACTGTTCAGCGGCAGTACCGAAATGTTGGCCTGAAGAAGAGGTGAATCTGTTTACCAAAGTCCTACAGACAAGCTTAAGTCCATGTAATATTCAAGTGACCAGTCCAAAAACCCTTGAGATGTCTTATTAAATCACCAGTCCCATTACATCCTTGTTCTGGACAATAAAGTCTCCGCTTGTGCAACAAGACACATCCTGGAGTTCTCTCCACTGATCCAGTGTTGGGGTCCCAATCCGGTCTCCAGAATGGAAACCCAGCTTCAAGCTATTCAGGGGTAGTGGCAGGTCTATAAATGTACCTGCAACCATAAGTAGGTGGAGCAGAAGAGAGGAGAATACCTGGACCAAAAGGTTACCATCACAAACAATATGCTGGAAAACCTGCATGGTCAAACAATATACATACGTTTTGTATACCAGAACATTTAAGACAGACAAACATATAAGACAATTTTAACGAGTGCACTCAGATGGTTTTGGCCAATTGAACTATAAAATCTTTTAGTTACAACTAGTCAACATTTTTGCAGGTCAAAATTAACAGAGATCTCTTGCAGAATTAGGGTTAAAGGAATGAAAGCTCTTCTTAACTGTAAATATAAACCTTTTATAAACAGACTTGAAACCAACAAGCAAACATAAATAAATGATTTCCACACACCTTCTCTATCTACTTAGGCCTTCTGATCTTGTATATCTTTCTTTACCTGTTTTTTAACAAGATACAAAAGTATAACTCGTACTTATAGCTTTCCTAATATTTTTCTGTCTCATTTACTATTAAACTTCTATTTGTAGATGTCACATAAGATGGAAAAGCAGGAAGAATTAGCTCTTAGGAGGAGCCTTCACAATCTTTATCTTTAAGGGATTAACAGAGTCTGTAACAACATCCCACGAAATAACACCGGAGGGTTGTCTTTGGTCCTTTTCACAGCTTGCGTTAATCTGTCTGATTAAATGCTCCGGGATCCACTGTGGTTGATCAGCATCCTGTGGAAAAACACAAGCAAAACCCCTTTCCCAAAGAACTGCACGGTAGACTGCAATCCAATCACTTGGTGTTAGCCAGGATCCAGTAATGGAGTCCAGGATAGCACAAGTGAAGGGAGCTGCAGTGCCATACTGATTTACAGCAGTCTTCAATTCTTTCACCAATTTAAACTCAAGAGGGCAATGTTCTCTCCTGTACTTGAACGATGGGGAATAGTCTAAAGACTTCCTCCTCTTGTGCTGCGGTGCGTTTGAGAGCCTCTTGTAAAGGAGATGCTATGCCTTGAGACCCTTCAGTTGTTATGGGGTCTTTACCATTGGGCTCATTGGTAGGCCTGGCCTCTGAGGCACGAAGAGACGCAAGTCTGCTTGAGAGGCATGAAATCTGCTGCCTCAGCTGAAGTTCCTCACTGAGCTCCTGATTAATAGTATGTAACTGAGCCAGGTTTGCCTCCCTCTGAGTGGGGGGTGGTGCAGAAGGCAGTGGAAAAGCCTCAAAACTGGGATATAGCACTGCGGGGGGTCCTCCAGAATCTGGAGGCTCGGGGGGCTCAAGTGAAAGAGGACATTCTATAGCGCCTTTTTCTGGACCAGATTCAGGAGGCTCTGAAGTCTGAGAGTGCTCCTCTCTAATTTGTTCTAACCCTTCATGCACCTCGTTTAAGGCTTCCAAAATTTCCTTTTTGGTTGGGGTCCTGAGAGCTGCATTTAACAAAGCCCAATAAAAAGGAGCACCTTCTGGAAAACGATCGGGCTCAGCCACAAGGGCTTCATTCAACTGTTTTCCAACTGTCTCCCATACTTCAGCGTTTATTTCTGCCTTACCATATAGCCATGGACAAACTGTGTCTAGAATCTTAACAAAGGCCTCTAATTGTGCCCTCTCAACTGTTACTCCTTGTGCTTTCAATAGGCTCTGAATTGAATTTGCTAGATAATTTCTGGATTCTGACTGTCCCATAATTAACAATTTTTAACTTATAAAATCTTCCCAACGGACTTGACACTCTCTACTTTCTATCATTTTTTTCTTTTTACCTTCTTTCACTTTTTTTTTTTCTTTTTACCTGCCTCCGGAGCACCGTCGCTGCCTTCGACCTGGGTCCGGGATTCATGAAGTGAACGGTAGACTTACTGCGAGGATCAGGCGCAGCGGTCAGTCCTCCGGAGCATCGTCGCTGCCTTCGATCTGGGTCCGGGATTACATATCCTCATCTACTTTCAGGTCCCTGTTCGGGTGCCACTTGTCACGACGTCAGGATCCTGCCAGCAGGTCCTAAACCTGAAAGGACGAGGACAGAGAGACGGGAGGCACTTTTCTTCTCATGTTATTTGCTTTATTTATTACAGAACCTCATCCTTTTATGCTCTCCCGGGAGCGAGAGTACCGCCCACACATTCCAGAAGAAAACCGTTACAGTTGCTAGGCAACAGATCAGACCACCAGCTGAACTAGCCCGTTGCTATGGGCGACGGCATGTCCACACCGCTCGAGTGAATCACAGGTTAACATGGCTGCGCTCTCCATAGGTGGTGAGTTATCCCACTAGGTTTGGAGTAAACATGAACAACAGTGGGAAGGAATTCCCCTCTTTCAGCTGTGGTTGCTGTGTGTCTGAGAACATGGCCCACATGTAGCGCAAAGCCCTGGTCAGAGCCCATGTGGTCACGTTCAATCCACAGCGATGCTTGTATTGTATGGAGACTGGTGCCTCGCCCCAGAGTCATAAGCCAACACGTGGTGGCCCCACAGCTAAGTTCTTCCTCAACACCACATCAGGAAGAACCAACCCCACACTTACAACACCCCAGCACCGACCCTCTCAACTCCCTGACCCCACTCAGACCATGCTGCTGAGCTCTTGGAGTAAAGTCTAAAACAAAGGACTTCACTTTCTTTCAGAGCCCCTTACCTTCTCCAAATACACAAAAATAAAAAAAGCATTAAAATCAGTCCAAAACAAGAAAAAAAAAGGATCCAAGTGTGACATATCTTCTCAGCTTCTGCAAAGAACAAGAGAACAGTAAGAAGAAACCTGACACCACAAACAGAACAGCTGCTGCTAGCACATGTAAGCTTCACGTCATTTTCCTGTCAAGAGATTCAACCACCAGCCGGGTGTGGTGGCACATACTTGTAGTTCCAGCACTCAGGAGGCTGAGGCAGGAGGATCGTTGTAAATTCGAGAACAGCCTGGGCTACGTAGTGAGTTCCAGGTCAGTCTCAACTACATAGTGAGACCCTGTGTCAAAAAACCAAAAAACCAAAAAAAATAGAGAGAGAGAAAGAGAGATCCAACCACCAACCCCAAGCGACAGGTCTCAGTATCACCATTCCTATCACACATCTCCCACATCAGTGCTCTGAGCATTTGTCTAAAAATCACAGTACTAAACACCACACACTACACACGCACGCCAGACATCTTCCCAGCTTCCTGACCACACCATCTCTCATCACTTACATCCACACCGCTCAAAGCCCTCCTACCAGGCACACAATGGGCTCCATGCTCGCTCTCCATGCCCCACACACGGCCCAGCCCTCGTTTCAAGAACAGTTCTTTTCTCCTTCTAGGATCATCCACAGCCCCATCTGGCTCATCCTGACCACATCTCCCAGGGCTCCTCATTGGCCATTGCCTCCCTTAGTTCTCTCGCAGTTCAAGAACACACTTTTGACTAACAGGGTCATCTCCTGCACAAGATCACAGCAGGGCAACCTGGGAATGAGCCAGCCCCAAAGCCCCAGCAAGAGAAAGCTCTGCATGCAGTTGTGCTATGATAAGGGTCTGCAATGTGTGTGGAGAATAGTGGGCTTCTGTAGGATCATGAGTAGGGCCTCCTTGTCTTGGGCCAGAGCCTATAAGTGACTCCCGATTTGGCTCTACCAGAAAAGTTTAGGGTGGACTTGGAACCTGACTAGAAGGGGTGCCGGCCTTTGGCCCACACAGCCATTTCCTCATTTCCCTGGCAGCTGACAGGACTCCCACTCCAAGCCACATGAACTATCAGGCACCCTGAGGTTGCCATGAGCCCATACGCAGCCCTGTTTCCACCTAATGATTATTTCACCCCTTTCCACCTACCACACCATTTGCCCAGAACAGGGACTGAACTCAGACTGTTGCTTCTGGGGCTGAGCTGGGCCGGACCCCAGCTTGTTCCCTTAGCCCAAGCTTACCCTTTTCCCCCATCAAAACACTAGCAAAGACCTTATACTGCCCAGGAACCAAGATGAAGAGCAAGAAGACTTACCTATCACAAGCAGTGTGAAGTTCACCTTCTGGGAGATGCTCAAGGATGGGTGCTCCACCACACACTGGTAGATGGTCCCATTGTCTTCCAGAGAGGCATTGAGTTTCAAGTAGCTGGTGATGCTAAATACACCATCCTTATTCTTGATGGTGGGACCAGTACAGATGTCCTTGGAAATCACTTGGTGCTGGGGAACCTTCTGGGTCCACTTCTCCCACGTTATGTTAATGGCTTCCGGGTAGAACCCGCTTGACTGACACACAAGATGTCTGCCTTTACCGCTCACTTTGGTTTTCTCCAGAAACACTGTGCTGTCTGGCTTAGCTGCCAGGGAAGAGAAGTCATAGAGTTGGCCTCAGCTCTAATTATCCTTTTCTTCTCCCTTCATGCTCACTGGCTTCTACTTCTTCTACATATCAGCATCTCTTTTACCATAGCCAGGCAAGACAGAAGACATGGGCCTCCTCTCTTTTCAAACATATAGACTCTGAGGCACAGATAATGCTGCAACTATGCCAAGCGATAAGCTGAAGTCCTGCTGAGTTATCAGAACAGGCTGGGACTTTCTGGAGGATGGGTAGAAACTAGCAGATCACCAATTTGATAAAAAAAACTTCCAGGAGTTTCCATAGGAGAAAATCCAGGTGGCCTTGAATTCGGTGACATGCTTTTAAACACAATGGGAAGGCTGGGTATGTAGGTCAGTGATAGTGCAAAGCGCAGCATGCATGAGGCGCTAGGTTTAACACCAGCAGTGCCAGAAACACAAAGTTATTAAATACAACTCCAGAACATGAAGCATGAAAGACAAAGTTGGTCAGTGGCAACTTATTAAAATTAAAAACTCCTAAAAGAAATGCAGTATTCTAGATGGAATCTTGGTACAGAAAAAGGATATTAAGTAAAAGCTAAAAGCCCTCAATAAACAATGGACTTTACAGAACAATAACCTATCAATATGGATACATTAATTTAATCAGCTGTGCTATGAATGACAGGGTAAATGGAGCGCAGTGGTGGGAGTAATACGAGAACCCTCTCGGCTATCTTGTAAGTCTATTGACTTTTTAAAAAAGCCACTGTTATTTCTGGATTTCTGTAAACTGAAGAATAAATGAACTCTAACTACTACACCTCTGCACTCTCGATATTAATATGTATGAAAAATCCACATTGATGGGGGGTTCAAACTGCTACTCTCCTGTTATGGGCTCTCCTTTACATTTCCCTAAAATCTACATGTCCCCCAGGGTTCCTACTACTATTTCTGAATGAGACTATTTGGACATCGAGTGTGCAAAGAGCTAATAAATTAAAATGAGATGACAGGGCAGGTCTTAATCCACTGAAACTGGTGTCCTGATAGGAAAAGGGAATTAGGACACAGACAAAGAAGAAAAATCAAGCCAGATGTGGTAGCACCCGCCTATAATCCCAGCACTCAGGAGGCTGAGGCAGAAGGATTGCTGAGAGTTTGGGACTCACCTGAGTTATGTATTGAGACCTTATCTCAAAAAAGAAAGGAGAGAAGGGAGGGAGGGAGAAAAACCCATGTGAAATAGAGAACATGGCCAAGGAGAGAGGCCTCAGAAGAAATGAGCCCCACTGACACCCTGATCTCTGATTTCTACTCTATAGAATTGTAAGAAAATAAACAGCCGCTCTTAAGCCACACAGTCCGTGATATTATCTTATGGCAGCTGTAGCAAACCACTGTAGCCAGAGTTCATCCACATATTATCAGATTCTATTACGATAGAGACAAGAGGAGCTCAAAGCAGTATTTGGGGGATGGTGTAAGTCGTGCCTGGGAGCCTATCTACCTTACGACCAGAGATCACCTAGACGTTTGCACACTGTGCTCCTCCCGGCACTCGCTGTGGAATGAACCCATAGGCACAAGCATGCTAAGCAAGGACTCTACCACTGAGAGTCTAATATCGCCAGCGTTTTAAAATTTTGCTTTATTTTGAAAGAGGGCCTAATTAATTTGCCCAGTGTGCCCTCAAACTTGGAATCCTCCTGGCTCAGACTCCTGAGTAGCTGGAATTAAAGGCATGTGCCACCACATGTGGATTTATACATCTTTTCATGAGGCAGGTAGGAGTTATCAGCCCACTGTGCACATGAGAGGATTCAGATTCCAACGTATTAAATGACTGGCTCCCATTTGGAAGCAAAAAGCTGGGATAGGATTCAGATCTGTCCAGCCAGAGTCCAGCTCTTCTCTCCTCTCCCAGTCCCCAACATGGGTTCGGGTTCTTATTCAGCGAGGCTCACACAGAGGTGAATTATACAGCTACCACAGCAGTCATTTAATGGACTGTGCTGAGTATTTTGCCTGCACTCTTCACACAGTCCTCCCTATGATCCTCTGAGGTAGACACTGTTACCTCTGCTGAGAGAAAAGGGCATTGCACTTTACAGTGACCCATAACTGGCTCAAGGTTTTCATCAAAGTGTTTGTCGAAGCCCAGGAAGGGAGCCCACATCTGGGTTAGACCCACACACCAACCCAAATGCATCCCCACCCAAGAACCAGCACCATGGCGACTGCAGGGCACTGCCCTCAGGTATTTACCGAGAACTTCCAACAAGACCCATCCTTTTGCCTTCTGAGGGGTGACCGTCAGCTCACACCGGTATTCGCCTGCATCCCCCAGCCCGACCCCAGGCAGCTGGAGGGAGGCGTCACCCCTCTTCAGCCTCTGTGCAGACACCATGGCCCCACATCGGAATGCATTTTGCTGATCTCCATAAAGCTCAAACACCTTGACTTCTGCTTCAGACACCAGATCCTTCCGATACCAGGTAACACCCATAATCCTGGTGTCCAGGCTGGGGCAGCCAGGGACTTGGCAGGAGAGTGTCACATTGCCATTCACGTATGCTATCTGAGACCTTCCTGGCATCTCCACTGACAGAGAACCTGTGAAAACAACACAACTCCGTTACGGGGATCCTTGGTACTTTCTCCCACAATTACGTAATAAATTCCTCTTGGGCTAAGTGGGAGAGGACTCAGTACACAGGCTCTTAGTTCACAGCCTTCCTGCATCCCCATAAGATCCCCCTTTGTTCTTTGTCAAGATTACTTTGGCTGTTGGGGTCCCTTGTAATTCCATACGAACCTCAGAATCAGCTTATCAATTTCTACCAAGTGACCAGCTGAGACTGACAGGAACTGCACTGAATCTGTTGGTTAATCTGGGAGTACCGCCATCTTGATGAGGTTAACAATTCCATCTATGAACACTTTTGTGGCATGTGCTATGGACTCAATGTTCTTGTCCTCCCAAAACTTATCTATTGAGGCCTAATTCCCAAAGGGATGGTGTTTGGAGGCAGGGCCTCTGGGAAGGGAGTAGGTCCTAAGGGTAGAGCCCCCTGCACCGGATTAGTGCCCAGGAACAGGAGATGCAGAAAGATCTCCCACTCTGACGTGAGACACAGCAAGAGGTGTCCTGCAAACCAGGAAGGGGCCCTCACCACAGACTCAATCAGCAGGCACCTTCACCTCAGGCTTCTCAGCCTTCAGAGCAGTGAGAAACGAATCTGTTTAAGACATCCAATCTGTGGAGTTTGCTATGGCAGCCTGACAGGAGATAGGACATTTTCTGTGCATTTATTCAGATCTTCTTAAATTTCTGTTAACAATGCTTTACACGTTTCAGAGTACTGGGCTTGTGTCATTCCTGGCTGTCTAGTGGTGTCCTCCCTGGCTAGCACACTGTCTGTCTGGAGACTCCTGACATTTCAAGGGTATCGTTGTCATTTTGAAGAGGAAGGGGTACATCCTGAAGTGGCTAAGATCAGGAAGGGAGGGATCTGGGCCCCTTATTTGCCCACCCAGCATGCAGAGCAAGCTTTCAGCCTGACCCTCACAGAAATAGGTCTACAATTTGCTATATAAACCCTGTTCCTCTATTGTTTCTTATGTTTTAAGTCTGGAGGGTTTTCAGCTTCCCAGAGTGCTGGGGTAACATTGCTCACACTTGTGTGTGCTGTCCGAACTCTGTCTTTGGTTCCTTTCCCTTTAGGCCCAGGAGCCCTCAATGTCAGGGGAGAGCTGACCTTATCCCTCTCCTTGGTTTCTGTACTGTGGCTCAATCCTGACCATCTGCTCTATAGCCCAGGCTCTGGTCAACATCCCGCAGCTCGAAGAGGGACAAGGGATGACAGAAGGACATAACCAAGAAAACTAAGAAGCCTCTGGCTGGACAGACTGGGCATCTAGTCCAAGGTTCTCAGGCAGAGGATGACTATAAATTTATCCTTCAGGCGGGGGGTGTCACTTCAGTAGTAGAGTGACTTCCTAGCATTTAGGAACCCTGTATTTAATTCCCAGTGCCCCTCCAAGAAAAAGAGGAGCTAGGTGTGGTTTCACATGTCTGTAATCTTAGCACTCTGGGAGGCTGAGGCAGGAGGATCACAAGTTTGAGCACAGCCTGGGCAACTTACCTTAGGGAGACACTTGTTGCAAAATAACAAAAAGAACCTCACAAGCACAAGAACCCGAGTTTAACCAGGAGTGGTGGCACACACCTGTAATCCCAGCACTTGGGAGGCTGAGGCAGGAGGATCGCTGTGAGTTCAAGACCATCCTGGGCTACATAGTGAGTTCCAGGTCAGTCTCAACTACATAGTGAGACGCTGTCTCAAAAAACAAAACAAAACAGAGTATTGCCATGGGTCACTAAATGACAGGGGCATGAGAGCGGTCATTATCCAGTTTCATCATTGTGTGAATATGAACAAGTGAACTTCACACAAACCTAAATGGATGGGTCAAACACTTACCGTGGCTTCTTGATGAGAGCAAGAGACATGGAGACTGTCTACAGAGCTACTATCTACAGCGCATTTTACAGGACACCTTTTTAAAAATGCTGTACAAAAAGAACACTCTAAAATGATTAAAAATCACATCATAGAAAATACATAAATCACTAAGTGTCATTTATTCTCAATGATCACACAATTGCATGTGCTGGGCTTTTACACAGTTTGCAGCACAGTAGTTTTGTTTATATCCACATGCATACTGTACTGCATTACAAGTTTACAAATGGCTTTGTTACCAGGTGTAGGGCTGGCCATGAACTCACTATGTAGTTCTCCCAACTTGCAGCGATCCTCCTGCCTCAGCCTCCTGAGAGCTGGGATGACAGTGAGTGCCACCACACCCAGCAATCTCTATTATAATCTTACAGGACCGCAATCCCATGCAATTCACCATTGACCAAAACATCATTATGAGTTGCACAACTATGTGTGCTCTGTGTTTCTTTCGTTAAATTTGTTCGTAAACATTTTATTCTTTTTGATGCTACTATAAAGGGAGTTTTTCCTCCACTTTATTTTCATGTTGTTTACTATAAATGTATTGAAATAGCATCTGTTCTTTTTATTTCTATCTCCTCCTCTCCTCAGGCAACCATTCTAAGGTCTTTAATGTGTCCAATTCTTTTCCTCTGTAGAACTTGTTTCCCAAGCTTATGGGAGTGGTAGGTGTATGCACACAGTACATATGTTGCTTTGGGTACATGCTATAGGGGTTGCTTTATTTCCCTTTTTACCACCATGCCTTCAAGCTCCTACCACATATCTGCGTGCGCAGCTGGTCCGCTGGCGGTAGCTGCTGCCCAGTTCTCCAAGGCGAGCATCCCTACCTGTTTCCCAGGCACCCACCCACAGGCACACACGTGGCTTCCTGGACTCTCACCCCCTCCCACACCAACCCCATCACAAGCCCGCTTGGGCCCGTCTAAGGAATTTCTCATTGTTGATTTGATCCCCTTTTAAAAATTGTATTCCATTTCTCCCTCCCCCTCAAGCCCCCTCCCCTCCCTATGTACAGAAGCTTTGTTTCCATTTTTCCCTTCTTTTACTCACTTTTTCCTGTCCTTTCCTTCCTTTCTTTCTCCCTGTCTTTACCCCCCTTCCTCCCTTGTTCCCTTTCCCATTTGAGCGGTTTTTCCCCCCATTTCCCAATATCAATTTCCTTCCTTCTAGTTAGTAGTGAGTTTAAACATCTCTTTGCAGTACTTAGCCTCTGAGCTTCCTGTTTTGGTACCAGGGATCTAACTCAGGACCTTGCGCTTTTGAGGAAGGCTGAGCCAAGTCCCCAGCCCTTGAGTTTCCTGTTTGAAAATGTGGCACCACTGAGGTGCCATGCTCAGGCCTGCTCCCTGCTAACCAAACCTAGGGGGCCATTTGTTTTGGGGGGAAAAAGGGGTCTATCCAAAGCTTGCATAGAGGACACAGAGGGGGCCCTTCTGCCCCACATCGCCATCTCACTGTGTCCTGATTTAAGGGTTTTTTATGGTAAGGAATAGAGGGGAGAGGGGTGCAATAGGAAAAGAGGTGACTTCATCTCGCTTTTGTCTCGCTGGGCCAGTATCCGCATGTTCTCTACTTTATCAGGGCTAAGGTGGGGTGTTGTGGGGTGGGTAGGAAATGGGGTGGAGGATGATGGTGGGTGAAGGCAGGAGCTGCAATGGTGGGCGTAGAGAGCGGAGACTGATTGGGTGGGCACAGGAGCAGAGGTTGGGTCAGGGCTGGGAGGTGGGTGCTGGCTCAGCCTGAGCAGGAGGGGTACAAGAGAGGGGAGTGGGGGCGGAGTGGGAGTGCAGAACAGAGGGGTGATGGCGGGCGTGGTGCTGGATGGGAGTGGGGAGTTGGGGGCTAGGAGATCCGACTTGATTTTCCTTCCCGAGGGGAGAAAGCAGGGCTGGATTTCTCCCCTCATCCCCACCCCTTACTGGGGGTGAACTCAGGGCCTCACGCACGCTAGGCAAAGTGCCCGGAGCCTGAGCCACAACCCCAACCCGCAATCCGTGAAGTCGGAATCCGCGAGGCGGCCGCTTCCTAGCGGGGCTGCGGGTGGACGCGCCGTTGGCTGACGTTAAGGAAGCCGCCCCGTCCCTGTCCCCTTCCGGCCCCTCACGCTCCTACCTGCGGTCGCCAGCACCACGCACAAGAGCAGCAGCCGCGCACAGCAGCAGCAGCAGCACCACCGTCCCCGGGGGGCTGCGGACCCCTCGGCCATGCTCCCACAGATGCCGGTTCCCCCAGATCCGCCCAGCCCAAAGCTGAGAGACCGGCGTGGCCGCAGAGGGACAGAGTGGGCTGAAAACCCAAGCGCGCAGGCAGAAGTTTCCTAGGGGCCATCTGCGCTTTCTAACTCTTCGGATCCCTCAGCGGTGCCATGACAGAGGAAACTTTCAACTGGTCCCCAATTAAGACACAAGAAAACTGCCGGCCAACCCCAGGGATGGGCTGGAAGCATCCAATGAAAGGACGAGTCACCACACGCTGGGCTCTGAGTGGGCAGCTGCGGCCTCGTGACATCCGGAAGTGATCCCCGGGGACTTCAAATCTGGGTCGTCAGCTGGATGGGGTAGGGGGCACTACAGTACCGAGGACGGTCCTGGTAAATGAGTTCCAGAGCTGCCTCTCACTGGCAATTGGCCTGATAAACTCACATCACTTAAGAAAATTCAAATTATTCTCCACCCGCGACTAGGGATTAAACTCAGAATCTTCCTATTGAGCTACATCTGCCCACAAACCCCCCTTGTTTTGGTTTGGTTTGGTTCTTGAGATAAGTTACCACTAAGTAGCTAAATTGCCCAGGATGAACTGGAATTTGACAGTCTTCCTGCCAGAGATGCCAGAATCACACGGCTGCCTCACCACATTGGGATACAAAACTCACACGACTCGACCAAAAGCCAAATTAAATCTCCATAACTCTTTAGTTAAAATCTCTGGCTGCAGCCCTTAAATATCCATCCCCTTAGTAATTAAGAAAGTGGTTGTGACTTGCTGAGCCAAATGCTCAAGTGCTCATTCAGTGATTAAATCTGACCACTTCCACGACAGTTTAAAAGCAAAATTCACATCACAAATGGCAGCGTAATTGTGTGTTCATACATTTTACCTCCCCAGCCCCCACATTTCTTAGCCTACCTGGAGCTAAATATATTTTTGTTGTTTCACTGATCCAACCTCGTTTTTCCCCTTACATGGTTAAAAAAGGTGTCATGTACAGAAGAACACAGGCTGACCCGTCCTCAACTGTCACCTCTGCCATCTGCTGATCCTGGGACAAGGGGCAAGTTACCCTACATCCCCTGCCTCAATTGCCACTCCTCTGGGACTGGGATAAAACCTTTCTTGTAGGGTGACTGTAAAGGTGACAGGACTGGGGGAGTGGGAACCAAATCCCAACACAGAGCAGCCTTCTTGGTACAGTGAATTTAGAATTCGAAGTAACGTCACCAAGTAGCATATATTTACATGCTCACTTATCTGCAGAACATGCAGAGCTTTGGAAATGCATGGACTAGGAAATGAGCAGAAGGCCTACACTGACACCAGCCAGGGCCTTCAGAAGTCCCAGTTTTTTGGACTGCCCGTGTAGACGGTGGCGATCTTCAACTTCATGTTCAGCTCTGGCATCCTGAAATCCGACATGACAGCTCTGCTCAATCTCTGGCCCCTCTAGGAGTCTTGTCTGAGGCCACAACCTTCTGTGGTATTATTAAAGATAGCTAAATTAGATAGATATATTCTAGGCAGTCAGACAGGACTAGGTGCTTAAGATAGTGCAAAAGATTGAAAAGAAAGAAAGACAAAAAACATTTCAGCTGTAGCTGGAGGCGCATATGTTGGAGGCCAGGCCTCCAGACAAAGACAAAATAACCAGGCCTACATACCTCCCCAGGGAAAAAGATAATTGGAATCACCTGGTCCAGTAAAGTCTAGATAGACATCAAGTCACCCTAGTAAGTAAAGAAGACCTCCAGATCTATCTAGGTTTCTGGTTGCAATCAAACTGCAATGTTATGACCAGAAATGTGGAAAGAATTAAGTTTGTGAACTGAGTCACCACTGTAACTATATGATAGTTTTATATAAGAATGTCCTTGTTCTTTTTTTTGGTTTTTTGAGACAGGGTCTCACTATGTAGTTGAGACTGACCTGGAACTCACTGTGTACCTCAGGCTGGCCTCCAACTCACAGCGATCCTCCTGCCTCCGCCTCCTGAGTGCTGGGATTACAGGCGTGCACCACCATGCCAGGCTAAGAATGGCCTTGTTCTTAAGAAATGTTCGCTCGCATACTTATCATAAAGGATAAAGTCTTTAACACAATACTGAAATGTTTCAGTATAAAAATAATTACACAAAGAACCAGGCATAGTTATGCCGATCTGTAATGATAGTACCCCGGGAAGCTGAGGAAGGTTTGCAAGTTCAAACCTAGCCTGGGGAATTTAGTGAGTCCATCTCTCAATAAAAAATTAAAAAGAGCTGGAGAATTTAACTTAGTGCAAAGGCCCTGGGCTCAATTCCTAAGGGATTAGGGCATGTGAGAATCCACCACGTACTGCTGTTACTATTTTGTTTGTTTGTTTTTTGTAACAGGGATCAAACTCAGGAACTTCTGCTTTCAAGGCAAGCTGCCGGGCTGTTACTATTTTGGATAGGTGTGATTTTTTTTCTTTCTAAACTGAAAATCATATATACTATTAAATGAAATATGTGACTGGATCTCAGCCCAGGAA